GTGCCCCCCAATTCCATCCCTGTTGCCTCCCTGACCCCCCGTGCCCTCTGTGCCCCCCAGGCCGGGCTGACCCTGTTGGGGCACCGCGTGTCCCTGCACTACAGCGACCCCAAACCCAAGATCAACGAGGACTGGCTCTGTGCCAAGGTGGGGACAGACTTTGGGGGGTTCTTGGCACCATTTTGGGGGAAAATTTGGGGTTTTGGGGCAATTTGTGGGGTCTTTGGGAAGGCACAAAGGGTTTTGGGGGGTGATTTGGAATTTTTGGGAGGATCCAGGGGGCTCTGAGGGGTTTTGGGGTGTGGTGGGTTTGGGGTGGTGCAGTTTTGGGAGGTGTGTGGGTGGGATTTGGGGTCCAGGATGGTTTTAGGGTGGGACAGTTTTTTGGGGCTCTACGGGTGGGATTTGGGATCCAGGATGGTTTTGGGGTGTGACAATTTTGGGGTGTCTGTGGGTGGGATTTGGGGTCCAGGGCGGTTTTGGGGTTTGGGACAGTTTTGGACTCCAGAGCTGTTTTGGGGTGTGACAGTTTTGGGGGTCTGTGGGTGGGATTTGGGTTCCGTGGTGGTTTTGGGGTGTGATAATTGTGGAGGTCTACGGTTGGGATTTGGGGTCCAGGATGGTTTTAGGGTGGGACAATTTTTTGGGGCTCTACGGGTGGGATTTGGGGTCCAGGGCGGTTTTGGGGTCCATGGCGGTTTTGGGGCGTGATAATTTTGGGGGGTCTTCGGGTGGGATTTGAGGTCCAGGGTGGTTTTAGGGTGTGACAATTTTGGGGGTCTGCAGGTGGGATTTTGGGTCCATGGCGGTTTTGGGGTGTGACAATTTTTAGGGGTCTATGGGTGAGATTTGGGGTCCAGGATGGTTTTAGGGTGTGACAATTTTTTGGGGCTCTACGGGTGGGATTTGGGGTCCAGGGCAGTTTTGGGGTGTGACAATTTTGGGGGTCTGTGGGTGGGATTTGGGGTCCAGGGCAGTTTTGGGGTTTGGGACAGTTTTGGGGTCTGTGGCAGTTTTGGGGTGTGACCATTTGGGATTTCTCAGTGTGGGGTGCAGAACTTCAAACGGCGTGAGAAATGTTTCAAGTGTGGCGTCCCCAAAGCCGGTGAGTGACCCCAAATCCCTGGAATTCACCTCAAAACTTTGTGGGATCCCCGCAGACCTCCCTGAACCACCCCAGAACTTCTTGAACTGCCCCAAAATTCCCTGAACCGCCCCAAATCTGCCCCAAAAATGCCCCAAAACTGCCCCAAAAATGGCTATTCTCAACCCAAAACTATTTGGGTTCTCCCCAACACCCAGGGGATCCCCCAAATTCTCT